AGTGCCCGGAACATGTTGCCAGAGGAGGTGGTGGAAGCAGACACACTAGCAGTATTCAAGATGCACCTGGACGAATACCTGAAAAGGAAGGGAATAGAGGGATGCGGATCGTGTAAGTGAAGGCAGTTTTAGCATGGAAGGGCAAAACGTGTTGGCGCACGCTTGGAGGGGCTGAAAGGTCTGTTCCTGTGCTGTGTTGTTATTTCTTTCCCGTATAACAGGCTCAAGGAGGGGGCTGAATGGCCTCCTCCTGCTCCTGTGCGACAAACATGAGGGAGGGCTGAATGGCCTCCTCCTACTCTTCTGTTCTGGTGGGTGGGTTTTGTCTGCGCGCTCTCACAGGGGTCCGTATCTACGCTCTCCACCACCGTCCCCCCTCCCCACCCCCAGGCAGCTGAGCAGGCAGCAGCGAGGGAAGCCGAGGATCGGCGGGAGACGGACGAGAAGTTTGCAGAAATCGGGAACCACGTGTACGGGGACATCCTGACGGAGAATCCCGAGGTAGCGGTCAGTGCCTTTGGCCCCCACCGTGTGGTCACGGACCGCTGGAAGGGGATGAACCCGCAGCAGCTGGAAGAGATCCGTCAGCAACAGAAGCAGCAGATGGAGGAGAATAAGGTGGGTCAGCAGAAATCCCCAACCTTCAGCAGGGTCGCAAGGCAAGATAGCCAATGCTGTCGCTGCGCTGATAACAGGGAAGAGGGAGCGCACGAGGGGGACAGCTCTTCGGGGAGGGGCAGTATGGACTCAACTGGTCAAATGGCCTGCTTCCGCACTGTAGGGATTCTATAATTAATTTATAGTTTTTAAATCAACAGGTTAAAGGGTTATGGAGAACAGGCAGCAAAAAGTGAAAGTTGAGGCTGAGAGGAGATCATGGCAGAGGAGGCTCAAGGGGCTGAAATAAATGAATGGGGCAGCAGGCTTGAGGGGCCAAATGGCCCAGCATTGCTGCTGGCACGGATGTACATTTGCATCGGGAGGCGGAATCTGGGTGCACAGGGACCCTGTGAACACGGGAAGACTTCTCACGCAGCCCGGGTGTTAAACCTACACTTCTCCGGCCACTGCAGAGGCTCCGGATGAAAGAGGCGCAGATCGACGCCGAGTGGGACCAGCAGCGGACACTGGCAGCGCGGGCAGCCATGGCACTGGAGCAGCAGGAAGTGGAGGAAGAAAAGAGACTGAGGCAGGAGCTGGACAGGTATAACAACCAGCTGGCCAAGGAACAGCTTGCACAGTGAGTATCACAGCACCTCAGGGTGGGTGGGGGGTGGGGGAAGGGGGAAGCCGGGGCGTAATGGGCTTTGTTTCCTATACCAGGAGCGTTAGATCCTGCATGTAACATCTCACCCGCAAGTATGAATCTCTGACAGCAGGGCATTTGTAAGGTGACATTCTGAAGTGACACTGATGACAGTGTGTCCTGTATCTAACCCCGTGCTGTCCCTGTCCCTGGGAGTGTTTGATGGGGGAGAATGTAGAGACAGCTTTACACTGTATCTAGCCCTGTCCTGGGAGTGTTTGATGGGGACAGTGTAGAGAGAGCTTTACTCTGTATCTAAATCCGTGCTGTCCCTACCCGGGGAGTGTTCGACGGGGAATGGTTTCAAGGATCAGAGGTATAATGCAGCATACTCTGTTTTGCAGTCAAGTCTACCTGGATAAGGAGGTTTACACAAACCCGCCCACTGCTCAGTACTTCCTGCAGTTTAACACATCCAGCCGTTGATAAGAGAGCGCAGGTACCAGACTGCGAGCAGCGGAGATGCCGTTACAGGATATTGGCGCTGGCTGACACGACCAGCTGACCCTTCGAATGTTTGTAAACTGCAGGTTGGACACTTTCTCTTTGTTTCTCTGTGTTACCCCAACAACCTGCAGGACACAGGCGAACATTATTGGTGGCTGGGGAGATCGGACTTACCCACCAGCCTCAGAGACCAACGCCATCGCGAAACCGTAGTTTCTTTTTTCTTTTGCGTGCCAGAATAAAACAAACGTGAAAACGCCCTCCAACAATCCTGTCGCTGTTTAATCAGGGAAGCACACAGTGATCGACCTGCAAGAGTCTGGTCAGGTTCGGGGCCTCGCGATGAGGGGTCGCTGACAGAGAATTTAACGCTCAGACATCAGCGAGGCAGCAGAGGGGGAGCACAGATTGCAGCACCCACCCTCCATCCCTACGTACTGATTACAACGTATTTTTATACCGGAAAATCAAATCGAGAACTGCAGATTGGAAGCAAGGATTGAAATTACTGGATGAACTCAGCAGGTCTGTGGCTACAGGAGAAAGCACCGTTAACATTTCAACTCTTTCTCCAGACTCTGCCCCGCCTTCTGAGTTCCTCCAGCAATTTCTCTACCAAAGCAGGGATCAGCTACTTAGATACGACTGACCATCTCCCCCCTGCCAACCCGCACATGCTCACTAACTGTGGAAAAAGCAGTACCAGCCACTGTCACATTGACCCACACCACTGTGTGCGCACATCCACACAGTCGAATAGCAGACGGGTACGGGGTTCCACGTTACTATCCTGCGCAGAGATGAGGAAGGGGAAGGGGAAGGGGAAGGGGAGGGGGGGGGG